TAACCTCAAAGAAAAATGATAAACCTTCACATCAAAAAAGAGGACTAGCATAAATATTCAGCGAAACTAAAACAACAGCAATGAAGGAAGTGATAACACGCTTCATAAACAAAACAAGCTCAGCATAGAAAATTATATGGAACAAAGAAATCGCCACCACGAAAAAACACATAATAGAAATGACAGCAACGAATTCTTATTTGCCGATAATTACATATCTGTCAAGGGACTTAACTCTAAGATTTATAGTGGAAGAGTGGATGACCAAACTATGGTACATACGCATAATGGAATGCTATGCAGCACTAAAGAATAATGATGTAGAGTCTGCAAAACACCTCATAATATGGAGTTGGAGGACATTACGCTGAGTGAAATAAGTCAACCACAAAAGGACAAATATTGTATTACTTCATTGTTGTGGAGGGTGAAGGAAAGGTTTATATATGGAGGGAAACTTTCTTTGTTGGTTGCCACAGGTGGGAGGGGAGGAGAGGGAACACAGCAAAAAAAGAAAAAAAAAAGCATTGACCCATGTCACTTTAGTTTTGTGTATTTCACTGTACATATATTATATTTCAATAAAATGCATTAAAAAGAAAAAAAAAAGACTTCAGGGGATATTTTTGGTTTAAGGTTTAAAAATTATTTTAGGGCAATAGTTTCAGGGATTCATCCATCCCCTTAACTCCAAAAAGTCTGGAGTCCGTGAAAATTTGAAATTCTGTTTTGCACTTTCCTTCCTCTGATCAGTATTCTTCTATGGAATCTTTGATCACCATGTTCGGAAATGGTGGCTAGGCACTATCTTGTTTTGGTCTCATGGCAAAGGGGACAGTTACTCATGGAGGCAGTTAGCCACACATTCCATATCTTCTTCCTATTTCCGACTCTCTTTCCTCTGGTGCTGCAGGCAAAAAGAGACCAATTGTTGTCCCTTGGATGGTCATTTGCAAGTCTTTAAATCTCAAATTAGGAAATAGAGCAGAAGCACTTGGAAAAAAAAAAAAAAAAAGGATATTGTCCTGCCCTTTTTCTGACGCACTCTTCAGGCACTGAAGCCTTAAGCACTACGCCACCAAAGCTCCTTAGACTATGGTTAGGAGCACCATATTAAGTATTCACTGAATCACATCACATAATATTTTTCAGCCATAAAAAAGGAATGAAGTACTGATACACTCTACAACATGGATGAACCATGAAAACATACAAAGTCAAAGAATCCAGCTAAAAATGACTACATATTATATAATTCCATTTATATGAAACATCCAGAATACGCAAATCTATAGAAGCAGAAAATGATTGTCAAGGGCTGAGGAAGTAACTGCTTAATGGACATCTTTTGGGGTGATGAAAATATTCCAGAGTTGAGACAGTAGTAACTGTTGTACAATACGAGAATACTAAAGAACACTGAATTACACACTTTCTAATGGTTAAAACAGTGAATTTTATGTTATATAAATTTTAATCTCAATTACAAATGTTTTTAATAAAAGACCACTGGGGAAAAAAAATATTTCTTAAAGTCTGGTAGCATAGCACCTAAGGCACTTGACCTCTAACCAGAAAGCTAGCAGTTCAAACCCACCAGCCACTCCTCGGAAGGAAGGTTGGGCAATCTACTTCCGTAGTGATACTGCCCCAGAAACCCAAGGAGGGGTCGCTATGAGTCAGGTCTGATTCGACGGCACATAACAACAACAACGACGTCTGAAAACAAACAAATCTAAAATATATATCAAGTTGAATGACACAATCCACTCAAAGAAAAATCTATTTCGAGGGACTTTAGAACACAAATTATGGACTGCATAAACACAGTTCTAAGACAAAAAAAAAAAGCAAAGAAATTTCAAACTTTATTCATCAGTTTTAATGTTAGGAATAACATTGTTATCATTAAGCAATTTTAGGTATAGTTAAAATAAAGCAAATAACCATGTAAATGTTAGGAAACAAAATTTTCTTGTTAGGAACAATATTTTTAGTGTAAGATAAAAGAGATGCAGGTATTTTAAATTTTTTAAATATTAAAACACTGATTTTAAAATCGATGTAGAAATATCAATATAATCTCATGATTTTTAATCCTGTTTAAAATTATGTATTTTCTGGCCCTGTTCACTAGAAAGGCCTAGAAGCAATGACAACCCATCAGTTAAAAGCATTCCTAGCAACCAAACTGTGGTCTCTAAATACATTTTCCCATTAAAAGGCATCAGAGCTACCTGAAGACATAGCTATCTCCAGATCTGGGACAAGAAATGTGTAAACTGATCCTAGGATATTTCACTGTGCTGTCAGGGACTAATGTGGCTGTATTCAATTCCTGAGCTGATGTCACAAATTGGTACAAATTTGATGGCTTAAAACAATACAAATATTATTTACTCTCAGTTCTAGCTTAAAATTAGTTTCCCTGAGATGAAATCAGCATGTCAGCAGGGGAAGAATCCACTTCCTTGCCTTTTCCAGCTTCTAGAGTACATTCCTTGGGTCATTCTCCATCCTTCAAGTCAGCAGTATAGCATCTTCAAATCTCTCTACTTCCATCTTCATATCATCTTCTGCCTTCTGAGTCAAATCTCCATCTCCCTCTTATTTGTAAGGATGCATGTGATTCAAGCTCAAGTGGCCTAACATACTACACAAAAAACATTATTCTACATCCTACTTTGGTGAGTAGTGACTGGGGTCTTCAAAGATTGCAAGCGGCCATCTAGATGCAATGATGGGTCTCTCCTCAACCACAGCAAAGAAAAATGAAAAAAAGCAAAGACACATGGAAACAATTAGTCTAAGGGACTGGTAGACAGCCTATATGACCATGAGACTACGATCTTCAGCCTACATGACCATAAGACCACAAGAACTAGATGGTGCCTGCTACCACTGTCAACCACTCTAAGAGGGACCGGTGCAATAGATCTTGGAGAGAGTGGGAGGACAATGTGGAACAAAATTCAAAATCAGAAAAAAAAAAAGACCAGGTTTGCTGGTCTCATACAGCCTGGTGAGACTTCTGAGATTATGGGCCCTAGATACCCTTCAGGTCTGGAACTGAACTCACTCCTGTGGCTTCCAGACAAATAACAGACAGGCATACTGGGTATATAGATACACTTCTTGGAGCAATCAATCATGAGAGAACAGAAAGGAAATATTTGCACAGAGACAGCTCGGGGGGTGGGAATGCATGGGAGGGAAGGACACACGGAACAGGAAACTAAAGGGAGGAAATGGAAAGATGTTTTTAACAGTGAAATGACACTGCCAGCAATACATTTGAAAACTTAGAGCCACAAAAAGGAAAAAAACGGCAATGAAGTAAGTGTGGCAAAACATTGACATTATCGACTCTTACAAATAGGTACACGAGAGTTCATTATAATATTCTCTACTTTTAGGTATGTTTGCAAACTCCAATAATACAATACTTAAAAAATTAATTCAACATAATAAAAGCAGCTCTGTAAGGTACACAGAAAAGTAGGACTACCTTCTGCTGAAGAGATGCAAGGCAAGGAAGGCATCAAGGAGGCTGCAGAATTTGAGCAAGGTATGAAAAGGTAGTTATGATACTGCTCAGTAGCACCCATCAAAGAGAAATGCCAGGTAGAGAAAATAAAGTGAGCAACAGTATCTTTATTAACAATTGTACAAATAGTTGTAGTAATGGGAAACAGGGTTGTAAAAGTGACTGCTGAGAGCTTTCAATGACAGGCTAATGAGTTGGGAAAGGCTGGAATGTTTTGGGGCAGAAGAATAACTTGATCAAAGCAACAGTATACAAAGACCCATCCAGAGATGATACATAAATAGTACGGTTGTAGAGTATAAAAGCCAAGAAACTGGCAAGCAAATGAGATCACTAAAGTAACAATCTAGTCTAGGCCTGAAGTGAGAATTATCTAAAAAGAATGGCTCCTATTTATAGAAGCTCAAAAAAACAAAACTCACTGCCATCGAGTCAATTCAGACTCATGACAACCCCATTGGGTTTCCAAGGCTGTAAATCTTTATGGAAGCAGATTGCCTCATCTTTCTTCTGCAGAGTGACTGGTAGGTTCAAGCCACTGCCCTACTGGTTAGCAGTCAAATGTCTTAACCACTACACACCAGAGCTCTTTATTTATAGAAGAGCAAACCAAAAATAAAACAAATCCTATCTACTCATTTTATTTTTTAATCTTCCTGAGATCCACAGATTCTCTTGAAATTATATGCAATATTTAGTATTTATATACATATGTGCATTTCACTGATAAATGGGTCCCTAAAACCAAACCCGGAGCTCTGGCAGCGTAGTGCTTAAAGGCACTTGACTGCTAACCAGAATGCTGGTGGTCCAAACCCACCAGCCACTCCTCGGAAGAAAGATGGGGCAATCTACTTCCGTAGCGATACTGCCCCGGAAACCCAAGGAGGGGTTGCTATGAGTTGGGTCTGACTCGACGGCACATAAAACAACAACAACAACAACAAAACCAAACCCACTGCACCAGAGAGTCAATTCTGACTCATAATGACCCTGTTGGACACAGTACAACTACCCCATAGGATTTCCAAGGCCGTGAATCTTTACAGAAGCAGACTAACTCATCTTTCTCCTGCAAAGTGGCTGGTGGATTCAAACCACCGAACGTTTGGTTAGTAGCCAAATGCCTTAACCACCAGAGCTCCTTAAAAGGGTCCCTAGCTTTCATAATATTCTCAAATAGGTCTGAAAGTCATAAGAAATTAAGCAATACTGGTATAACGTAAGCATCACTTTTAACAACAGTTGTAAGAAAAACAAATGACTAAGTTTAACACAATTCAGTACTCTTTGAAATATGCCCAACATAATTAATTACAAAGGAAATATAGCAAATACACCACTACTTAAAAACTGATTCCAGAAAACTAATAAACTGGTTAATCTGCAAAAGCATAAAAAAATACTTAAAATTCATTATCCATTCCTTACTTGAATCGCTAATGTTTCTTGTTGTTGACGGGCTTCTTCTTGGGCCTTTTCTAGTGCTGCAGATAGCTCTTCTTTAGCTTTCATCTCACGACTTAGAGCAACTTCTTGTGCCTCACTATCCTTTGCAGCATTGGCTTTGTGAAGATCAGTAAGTTCTCTTGAAAAATTAGATGACAATTTTAATTGAATATAACATGCAGTAATATTACAATTTCAAGTTAATGAAGTTTCCACGTACCACAGCACTCTACAGAATGAGGGCGAGTTCGGAAACCCAATGGGAGTTCCAATGAGTCAAAATTGACTCGATGGCACTGATTTGGGTTTTGGTTTTACCACATAATAAATATTGGCTGCAGAGATGTTGAACTTGCCTTGACCAGTACAATCTTACATATAGGTAAGTTTGTAAGCGTTGCTGTAATCAAATAGTCAAAAGAGTATTTCTTCAACATCCCACTCTAATAATTACTTCTTAAATGGGTTGCATATTTGTCCATTTTCTTACATGTATGCACTATCAAGGGCGGCCTGAATACTTCGATTCTTTTCTTCAAGTTCCTCCATGTCTACCTGTAGTCGGCCAATATCCTTCTCTTGACATTCTACTACAGAATTAAGTTTTTTAATATTTTCTCTATGTTGTTTCTCAACTTCTTCCTTGCCATCAAGGACCTATGTTATAAAGACAGATAAAAGTATTTTTCAATAAGTAATAGCCTGGTAAATAATTTTAGTCTGGTGATCTCAAGTATTATATAATAAAGATTTTAAGATTTATCTATTAGTTTTAAAACTCCTTACTTGATATTCTTCCATTAAATCATTTTAAATGCTCCAAAAACCATGTCAAACTGTTCATATAAGCAATATCAGTAAATACATGTAATGACTAATGTTTAATAACCACCTGTTTTAAATGTTGCAACTCCTCTTCTAGTTCTTTAACTTTTTTGTTGAGCTTTATGGTAATGTTTTCATTTTCTTTGTCTTTAGCTCTTAATTTCTTAATGATGTTAGAATTATGCAGCTGCTGCTTTGAAAGCTTTTCTCCTGGTAATGGTAAAAAAAGCATAGATTCAAATAATATTGGTTTAAGATTCTGGATATAAGGTTTTATCTAACCAGTAGCATAAAATGATAGAATTTTTTTCAAAAATCACAATTTTGTAAAGCCCACGTAACAAATGATTTGGACAAGAATCATTTATGAATGGTAAAATTATTAGTTGCAAGGATTTTGGAGAACAGGATATTTACACAGTCTTGAAGAATCACATGTTGTTGTTGTTGTTATGTGCCGTCGAGTCGGCCCCGACTCATAGCGACCCCTCCTTGG